AAAATGTCTTTCTGAGAGTCAATGGCTTATAATGACCTTGCCTAAGCACTATCAGGCTCTACACACGGAAGTCCATTTGGCATCAGAGGTACCAGAGGCGGGTACAGAACTGCAGTCCTGTGCTGTCCTGACACATTGGCAGTTGATGAGAACGTTTTAGCAATTAAATACACACACAAAATAAGAACAAACATCTAATCAGTGTAAAAAAGCAAGTGTGAGCATGCCTACAACCTAAGAGATAATTGCTTTCAGGCACAGGGGAAGAGAGAGAGAGAGAGATGGACCTCGGTGTCACTGGGTCATCTCGCAGGTTTTGAGCAAATAAGCGCGACTCTATCTTGTGGTCAAGCTTCACTGGCAAGCTGTTCTTTACGGTATATGATACGGAAACAAACTTTGGTTTTAGAGAACAGAGTAGTTGGCAATACACATGGTACTTTTTTTAGTGTTTGAATGCTTGAACTCAATGTATATGAAACTTAGAAGAGACAATAGAATACATTACGCTTAATCTTCAATAAATGCTTTGTTTAAAAAAAATCGCATGGAATCCTAATTTTCAAGTCAAAACTAGAACTGAATATCTATTGTTGTAACAAATTCATTACCAACAACCTTACATTATTAAAATACAGTGAAAGAGAGATAAAAAACTACATATATATATCTATTCTTCAATTTTACAGATAACAAAATTTGAACTTAGGCAATATTGCTTAATATAAATATGGGATTTGATTTCATCATGATCTGGGTACTCAGGTGCGTGCATGGCACCTTGCACCATGATTAACACTGTCAGGTATGTCAAACTTTGATTCCTTCTGTCGCTCGATCTCGCCTCTCGGGTCCACGAGCGGGTGTTTAGAGAATGGCCGGGACGAAGACGGGGAGTTTAGTCTCCTTCTTGCTCCGCTGCTGAGCTGGAGCCCGAGTTAACTTCTGGCAAAGGAGGGAGCTCCTTTCTCCTACTGTGGGGGCTGCAGCGTGGGCGGCGGGGAGTCAGGGCCAGGGGCAGAGTGGGCGGGAGTCGCGGGCGTTGAGATGATCAGCGTCCTGCTGAGGGCGCCCTCGGTGACCGTGTAGCCACCTCCGTCAACCGTGATCTGCGTGAGAGACTTTTGCGGAAGAGACGACATGTCGGTGCGCAGGAGATGAGTGGGGAAACTGCTGCCATTCTCTGAGGATTCCACCACAATAGTCTCTCGGGTGACAGACGGCCCTAGCGTTACGCCCTCGATATTGGTAATTTCCCTTGTGATGGTCGGGCCGAGTGTGACGCTCTCGATGTTTGTAACTGCTGGGCTCAGAATGACACTCTCAATTCCTTCCCTGGTAATCGTCCCGCTGTGGCTCAGGGTCAGGCTCTCCACGTGGGGGGAATCCGTCGTGACCACAACGGCGCCGTTTTCCCTCACGGTCACGAGTGCAGGCTCCTGTAAGGGAACTACAAGCTGGGGAGGGGACTGTGCACGAGAACCTCGAGGCTTTGGGGGCACAGGAGGGGGCACAGTCGTAATGGAGGTAGGGCCACTGATGTCTACACTGCTCACTCTGGGCGCTACTGTTACAGTCACGCCGTCCACATTGCCACCCTCGTGATGAGCAATTCCCTCCACCTCGCTGTCACTGCTCAGGCTGCTGCGACTGCTGCTACTGCTACTTGTAGGGATGGTCTTCGTTGTGTGGGTTTCCTGTGTAGTCACATTACGAAGTTGAACAGTGAAATTACTGACCTGTTTCTCCTCAGCTGTGGGAGGGTTAGCCTGCACAACTACGACACCTGTGTCTTTGACAACTGTGACAGGTGTGACCTCCACACTCCCACCCGTAATGGTTGCATCACCGTCCAGTAATGTGATTGTGGTACCTCCCACTGGAGCTGGAGTGGAAGGCAGTGCTGGAGGTTCATCCTGATCTTCGTCCTCTCTGTGGTGAAGTGTAATGCTCTTCGAGGTCTCTGAGGCCGTGACCCACTGGGTGGAAGAGATGTCAGTGATAGAGGTAGAGCCACTGATTTCAATATGTGAGACAGGCTCTCCCTCAGGTTCTGTGACTCTTGGTGACACAGCTTCTGCCAAACTGAGGTCACTGTGTCGTCTGAACTGCAAAGCTTCCTCAAGAGTACCCCACTGTCCTGCACGTCGTAATCCCATGCCACCATCTACTCGCAATCCAATAACTTCATCCTCCTCGTCTATTGATGTGGCAGAGGAGTCTGGAAGTTGCAATCTCCGGGGATGCTGAAGATTGGGTACATTTTCAGCGGCGGTAGTTGCTTCGGCACGTGTTAAGTCTAGGGACATGGCACGCTCAAGAACAACATTGATAACTTCAGGTTCAGTGTGTAATCGAGAAAGATCTCCAAGAGAGGCTGCTTTACGCTTCAGTTCTTCGGAGTCTGTTGGTGGTCGTTTTGGAGTGGAAGAAGTGATGGGTTCAATTACTGCTCCAGCAAGCTCTATGTTCGTTCAACATCACTGTCTGATGCAGTGGAGGTGGTGTCATGTAGGACAAGAGGTGGGACTTGCCTTTCCAAAACACTCTTTTGCATTACCTCTACAACCTCTGTGGCTCCTGCAGAGAGGCTGGAACTTTAGGTCTGACCTCCCGTACCACCAATTACTCTTCCCTGATTAGACAGATCCTGATGTTACAACAGCTTGTGGAGGTTCTGGAGCTCTTGAGAATGACGACATATGAAGTCAGTTTCATCCAATGAAGAATCCAGGGAAGACAGACAGTTCATAGGGATTATAGACGACGTTATTTACTTGACACGGGTAGTCACTTGTACTTCTTCTATGTTCTACAATCAACAGGTCGTCTCATTTATAGTAACTTCTGTGACCCCCGTAGCCATCTGCGTCCACGTCCTCGGTTCTCTTTCTCCTTTTCATGTTGTGGAGAATCATTCTTCTTCGTCAGAGCTGGATGATGAAGAGCTAGAAATGATGAGAGATGAGGTGGCTGCTGTTTTCTGTGTTTTTCGCGCGATTGGTCCTTTGCTGCATTTGCAGCAAGAGCCAATTGCATTTCTTCTGATTTTCTTATATGTACAATTCATCTTCTGTGTCCTTCTTATTCTTTGTTCCGTCTGTTCTCTTCTTCTTTCTTGTCTTCTTATCTCTTAAGCATTTTTTCTCATTACGCTTTGCAACTGTCATATTATGGGATGTTCAATTTACATTACTTTTCAGTCGAAGTCATCAATCTTTCACTTTCTTCACATCGGGACTAGGTACATTGGGCGGTTGCATACCCTCTGCGGTCCTGAATCTTCCCCTTCGCGTTGAATTCTTAAAGTGACTTCTTAAAATCCACAGATCATCTCGACCCATCAATTGATTCTATATTCATAGCGTTTTCCGCCTTTTCAGAAGCTAATAATCCAACTACTTATTCAGATCCAAATCGTAACGCTTGATCTGGTAACTTCTAGCTTTTATTTTCCTCTCTTTCATGACTTCAGTTCATCTCGCTTAGCCGAGACAGTAGTCAGTCGCAGTCTTTCGCCACACATATCATTCAGTCTTGTACACTAAAAACTTTTTACTTTTGTTTTGTAGACTCCAAGCTAAAGACTGTGGCTTCAGTTTCTGCTTGACAGGACCACTTCGGCTGTGGCGGGTACGGATAACCCTTCTTGATCATTATTGTCTTCAGAGTCTGAGCTCCTTCGGCGTCCTTCTCATTCCCTATAAGACCTCAGTAAGTGCAGACCGCCCTTCACCTTGGGTCTTGGCTTATCGTCATCACCATCCTGGTCCATGGAGACTTTCTCGGAGTGTTCTTCGTCGGTGTCTGAGGAACGAGTAAAGCCTTTGAAACCAAAGCTCGATTTCCCTCTTTGACTTTCTTCTTGTCTCTCTTTGACTCTTGCTTGTCAGGATCTGGGGGTTAGGGATGATGTTGGTTGGTTGTCACTTTCGCTGTCAGACGAGCGACATTAAAAGCGCTCGGAAGACCAAAGCCTAACCTAAAATTTATGTTTTGTTTCGTCTTTTCTTCATCATCTTCATCTTTTCCTTTGATTTTGGATGTTGATGGTTTTGTACTTATCTTCCTCGCATTTCCAACACTGGCATGTGATCCTGAAGGTTCCGCTCTCCCCAGCAGGTGAATACTTTGGTCCCTTCAGCCTCACCTCACTCTCTGGCAATGCTGCAGTTACTTTGGAAGCTTCGAAAAATTCACGCTTCTTGGCAGCAACAGTACCTTCAGGAATATCAATATTTGGACTGCCAATGTTGACTTCAGCTGCACTTACACGAACATTTGCATCAGGAACATTGGCTATATCAGTCCCTCGAGAGTCAATACCTATGTGTTTCTTGAAACCTTTGAATCCAAAGGCCATGCCAAAGCCAGGCGAGTGTTGCATACTCTCCAACTCTGTCTCTGAATTAGCCAACTTACTGGTGTTCACTCTGTGTCTCTAAATCAACAAAACTGGCAAGTCTTCATCTTTGAGGACTTTTCAAGTCAATGTCAAACTTCTGGGAGGTCACTTTCGGTTTCAATATCAGGGACTTCGACACTGGGCAGATCAACATCTATCCTTTTGCCCTCTGAATTTTTCTTCTTCAATTCGAAAGATCCCAGCTCTAGGCTACTTTAATGTCCAAGCATTGATTTGAACCCGAAAACTAGAATGACTTATCCTATATTTCTTTGCAGCTGAACCATGATCAAAGTCAAGGTCTACATCTGTGGAGGTTTCAATGAATTTAACACTTTTGGGAATCTGCTTCATACCGGATGTTTCCTGTGTGGATGTTAGGCATATTTACTTCTGGTTTACTGTGAGTTATTCCAACGTGTCCTGCAGTGTCAGGAATATGAACTCAGGCCTTTAGAGGATAACTCTTCAGGAAATATCCTACTTCTCCTTCAGTCCTCTATCATCAGAATCATGACCTGAGCGTCTTAAATTCAGACTTGGTAGGTTTATATCTGGACCTTTAAATCCAAACTTGAAACCTTTCCTTTCCTTATTGCCATTACCCCTTTTCTATTAGTAGAATATATCATTGCATCCCATATTTTGCCTCCTTTGTTGCCCTTCAAGCTGAAGCTAGGAAGATTGAAGTCAAGTCCCTTTGAGCTTTTCTTTTCCTCGTCAGAGAGTTTCGTTCTGAACGTCGAACTCATCTTCAAATTCACATCAGGTGCTCTTACGTCAGGACCCTTGAGATTCAATTTGAAACCTTTCTTTGACTTAACTTCTGAATCCTCTCTTCACCGGTCACTTCTTCTTATCTATCGTCATGTCATCGCCGTAACCGCGAAGGTTTATGCTGGGGAGATTGATGTCTGGGCCTTTGATACCAAGACCAAAGCTTCTTTTGGATTTCTTACCTTTATCATCATCGTCGTCATTGTCAGACTCCTCTTTCTCTCTTACATTTTCCATTGCGCTTCCTTTCAGGCCTCCTCATACTGGGCATGTTTGAAATCGGGTCCTTTAAATCCGAGGCTGAACCCTTTCCTTTCCCTGTCTCTTGTCTTTGTCATTCTTTCGAATCTTCATCTTGATATTTCTCATCTGAGACTTCCTTCTAGCCGCAAGGCTTAAGCTTTATATCTTGGACAATATTGTTTCACTTTATCACTCTTTACATCATCATCTGATTTTCTTTCACCTTTATGATCTCTCTCCGCTTCCTTCTTTTATGTTTCATGCTCGGTATAAAACTGAAGTCAGGGCCTTTTAGTCCGAGGCTAAATCCTTGTCTTGGACTTTTTATCGTTGTACTATCACTTCATCTTCATAATGTCTTTTGGTCTTTTTGTCTTTACATTTCCTTCCGACCTCATTAACTTGGTAGGTGAAGTAGGTCCCTTAATAGAAATTTTAATTCTTTTAGACTTTTTACCCTTTTCCTCTTCAGACTCATTTTCTTCTCTATCACCAGCCTCTGCACTTCCTTTGAGGCTCATACTGGGAAGACTGAAGTCAGGTCCTTTGAATCCAAGATTAAACCCTTTCTTTGATTTCTTACTCTTATCATCGTCATCATCATCTTCAGATTCATTCTTTTCCTTATTATCTCCTTCTACATTTCCTTTGAGGCTCATGCTTGGCATTGAGAAGTCAGGTCCCTTCAGGCCAAGACTGAATCCTTTCTTTGATTTCTTGTCTTTGTCTTTCTCATCTTCAGATTCTTCCTCCATGTCACCTCCTTCCCCACTGCCCTTGATACTCATGCTAGGTAGACTGAAGTCTGGGCCCTTGAATCCAAGACTAAAACCTTTCTTTGATTTCTTTTCTTTGTTTTTCTCGTCATCCTCAGATTCATCCTGCTCCTTGCCACCTTCTCCACTGCCCCGAATACTCATACTCGGCAGGCTGAAATCGGGACCTTTGAAGCCTAGACTAATACCTTTCTTAGACTTCTTTTCATCATCGTCTTTCTCGTCATCTGAATCCTTAAGATCCCCTTCCATTTTTCCCTTCATGCTCATACTAGGTAGGTTAAAATCAGGACCCTTTAATCCAAGACTGAAACCTTTCCTTGACTTTCCCTCCTTATCTCTTTCTTCTTCATCAGTTTCGTCTTTCGTGTTATTGTCATCTGCACTTCCTTTAAGGCTCATGCTTGGAAGACTAAAGTCAGGTCCCTTAAATCCAAGACTGAATCCTTTCTTCGATTTCTTTTCCTTATCTTTATCATCATCAGACTCTTCTTTATCATTATCTGCACCTCCTTTGACACTCAGACTTGGCATACTGAGGTCTGGTCCTTTGAATCCAAGACTAAAGCCTTTCTTAGATTTCTTATCTTTAACATCATCATCATCATTATCTGATTCTTCCTTCCCTCGTCCTTCTCCACTGCCCTTGATGCTCATGCTTGGTAAGTTGAGACTGGGACCTTTTAGGCCAATATTGAAGCCTTTTCTGGTCTTTTCACTTTTGTTATCTTCACGATCATCATCTGAAGCTTCTTTATCATGTCCGGCATTTCCCTTGATACTCATGCTGGGTAAGTTAAGATCAGGCCCCTTAAGACTAAATCCTTTCTTTGATTTTCCAACGTTATTCTTTTCGTCATCATCGGACATATTCTCACCTTCTCCCCCACCTCTAATGCTCATGCTAGGCATATTAAAATCAGGGCCCTTGAATCCAAAGCCAAAGCCTTTCTTGGACTTCTTATCTGATTCTTCATTATCGGATTCATTTTCTTCTTTACTGCCTGCTTCTGCACTTCCTCCCAAGCTAAAGCTAGGTAAATTGAAATCAGGTCCTTTTAGGCCAAGACTAAAACCTTTCTTGGACTTCTTATCTTTGTCATTTTCGTTATCATTATCCGACTCTTCTTCATCCTTGCCTCCTTTGATATTTATGCTGGGTAGACTGAAGTCAGGGCCTTTGAGCCCCATGCTGAACCCTCTTTTCGATTTTTTGCCTTTGACTGTGTCATCATCTTCCACTTGTCCCTGAGCTTTGAGGTCTACAGAAGGAAGATCAATATTTGGCCCAGTTACCTCCACAGACTTGGAGATGCTACTTTCTGGTAGATTCCCTTCATAACCTTCTAAATCTCCATGACCTTTTACCTTGAAGTCAGGGAGGTTGAAATTGGGGCCCTTCAAGTTAATATTGAAGCCTTTCTTGGATTTCTTCTTGTCATTTTCGTCTTCGTCACTCTGTGCCTCGTCACTATCACCTTTGTCTCCTTTGCCCCTAAGATTGAAGCTTGGTAGGCTCAGATCAGGACCTTTTAGGCCAAAGCTAAACCCTTTCTTCGATTTCTTTTCATTGTCAGATTCTAGGTCCAAGTCTGCTTCGGCACTTGGTAATTTAACGTCTGGTCCTGTTAAGCCAAGCTTGATATTTCTTCCTTCCTTGTCTTTTTCATCTGCTGAGTCATCTTCGCCATCACCTCGGTCACGGCCTTTGAGACTAAAGCTAGGAAGGTTTATGTCAGGGCCTTTGAATCCAAAACTGAAGCCTTTCTTAGATTTTTGTTTTTCATCATCACTTTCCTCCTTGTCCAAGGCAACTCCAGAGGAAGCGTCGCCATGGAGTTTCAAATCTACATTTGGAAGAGTGACATCAGGACCCTCCAATCCAAGATTTAAATCTCTATCACTCTTATCGTTCTTAGCCTCTGACCCATCATCTTGTCCATGACCTTTGAGACTCATACTGGGTAGACTGAAATCAGGGCCCTTAAATCCAAGGCTAAATCCTTTCCTGGACTTCTTTTCCTTGTGTTTTTCATCATCATCAGATTCACCTCCTTTGTTGTCTCCTTCTGCACTGCCCTTGATGCTCATGCTTGGCAGATTGAAGTCGGGACCTTTAATGCCAAGGTTGAAACCTTTTTTGCTTTTATCATTATCATCGTCGTTTTCAGATTCTGCCTTTTCCTTATCGCCTCCTTCTCCACTTCCTCTAATGTTCATACTAGGTAAACTGAAATCTGGACCCTTGAATCCGAAACTGAAGCCCTTCTTTGACTTTTTCTCGTCATCATCATCTTCTGAATCTTCCTTATCTTTGTCACCTTTTCCACTCCCTTTGATACCCATGCTGGGCATGTTAAAGTCAGGACCCTTGAGTCCAAGACTGAAGCCCTTCCTTGACTTTTTATTTTTGTCATTTTCATCATTGTCCGATTCATCTTTTTCCTTTTCACCAGCTTCTCCGCTTCCCTTGAGACTCATACTTGGCAGGTTAATGTCAGGGCCCTTGAATCCGAGACTGAAACTCTTCTTACCTCTCTTACCTTTGTCGTCAGTGTCATCGTCATCGGACAACTCTTTGTCATGCTCCCCTTCTGCACCTCCTTTCATGCTCATGCTGGGTAGGCTGAAATCAGGACCTTTCAGCCCAAGACTGAAGCCTTTCTTGGATTTCTTGTCCTTGGATTTATCTTCGTCATCGGATTCTTCTTTCTCCTCGACACCTTCAGCACTTCCTCTGATACTCATACTTGGCAAGCTGAAATCGGGGCCTTTGAACCCAAAACCAAATCCTTTCTTTGACTTTTTACCTTTCCTGTCTTCGTCATCATCATCAGATTCTTCCTTTGTCTTATCACCTTCTTCTGCACTTCCTTTCATGCTAAAGCTGGGTAAGCTGAAGTCAGGACCTTTCAGTCCAAGATTAAAGCCTCTCTTAGACTTTTTATCCTTGTCGCCACTTTCATCATCATCGTCGTCTGGTTGTTCCTTTTCATTACTTCCTCCTTCTACATTTCCTTTGAGACTCATGCTGGGCAGATTAAAGTCAGGTCCCTTGATTCCAAGGTTAAAACCTTTCTTTGACTTTCCACTCTTTCCATCTTCACGGTCATCGTCTGACTCATTTGCTTCCTTATTGTCTCCTTCTACACTTCCTTTGAGGCTCATACTGGGAAGACTGAAATCAGGCCCTTTGAATCCAAGATTAAAACCTTTCTTTGACTTCTTCTTATCATCGTCATCATCTTCAGATTCATTCTTTTCCTTGTCTCCCTCTGCACTTCCCTTGAGGCTCATGCTTGGCATCGAGAAGTCTGGTCCCTTCAGGCCAAGACTGAATCCTTTCTTTGATTTCTTGTCCTTGTTTTTCTCATCATCAGATTCTTCTCCCTTGTCACCTTCTCCACTGCCCTTGATATTCATGCTAGGCAGACTGATGTCAGGGCCCTTGAATCCAAAGTTAAACCCTTTCTTTGATTTCTTGTCCTTGTTTCTCTCATCATCAGATTCTTCTCCCTTGTCACCTTCTCCACTGCCCTTGATATTCATGCTAGGCAGACTGATGTCAGGGCCCTTGAATCCAAAGTTAAACCCTTTCTTTGATTTCTTTTCATCTTCGTCATCATCTGCTTCCGCCCCTTCAGCATTATGTTCTACTCCACCTTTGATATTCATACTGGGCATACTGAAGTCAGGTCCTTTCAGTCCAAGACTAAAGCCCTTCTTGGACTTCTTGTCTTTGATGCTTTCTTCATCATCAGACTCATCCTTTTCCTTATTTCCTCCCTCGGCACTTCCCTTCAGACTCAGGCTAGGGAGATTAAAATCAGGTCCCTTCAGTCCAAGACTAAACTCCTTCTTCGCCTTTTTCTCATTGTCATCGTCATCATCGTCGGATTCGTTGTCTCCCTTTTCTCCCTTTAAACTCATGCTTGGTAGGCTGAAATCGGGTCCCTTAAATCCTAGGCTGAATCCCTTCTTGGATTTCTTATCCTTATCCCCATCATCGTCTGATTCTTCCTTTTGATTTTCACCTTCTGCATTTCCTTTGAAACTCATACTAGGCATATTGAAATCAGGACCTTTTATTCCGAGACTGAAGCCTTTCTTGTTCTTTTTGGTTTTGTCATTTCCATCTTCATCATCAGATATCTCTTTCTCTTTTTCACTTCCTTCTGCACTTCCCTTAATACTCATGCTCGGTAAGCTGACATCAGGTCCTTTAAACCCAAAGCTAAATCCTTTCTTAGATTTCTTTTCTTTATCGTCTTCTCCATCTGGCTTTTCTCTGTCTCCAACATCCAAACCACCAGACAGACTAACATCAGGGATGTTTACATTTGGTCCTTTCACGTCAAAGCCTTCTCCCTCGATGCCTTTAGCCCCAAGGTTGACGTTTGCCTCAGGACCCTTTAATCCTAAGGAGAATCCCTTCCTATTTTTCTTATCTTTCACGTCGTCATTATCTACATCTGCCTCAGCGTGAACCTGGACGTTTGGCATGTTCACGTCAGGTCCCTTCAAGCCAAATCTGAAGCCCTTTTTGCTCTTCCTTTTCTCCTTCTTTCCCTCGTCATCGGAGTCCTTTCCTTCGTCTGGCATGGAGGCATCACCCTGAAGTTTCAGGTTAGCACTCGGGACATTCACTTCAGGACCTTTCAGGCCAAAGCTAAAGCCTTTTTTGCTCTTCTTGTCTTTCTTTTCACTCTCAGAGCTGTTGCTTTCGTCGTTATCACTGTCCTCTCCACGCCCCTTGAAATTCATACCCGGAAGACTGAAATCAGGGGCTTTGAATCCAAAACTAAAGCCCTTCTTACTCTTTTTGCTCTTCTTTTTCCCACCTTCTTCTACTTCTACATTCACTTCCTCTAGAACTGGCTCTGCGCCACCTTTTAGGCTCATGCTCGGTAGGGTAATATCAGGCCCTCGAATACCTAGCGACAGATCTTTTCCATCGCCTTCAATTTCCTTTTTGCTCTTCTTTCCATCTGAGTCCTTTTCTTCGTCACTTCGCCCGCCCAAGCCAAAGCTAGGAAGGTTGATGTCTGGACCTGTCAGGCCAAAGCTAAAGCCCCCTTTCTTAAATGCATCAACCTCAGCTTCTGCATCTGTTTTCACGTTGCCCTTAACCTTTAGGTCAGCCTCTGGCAGAGAAAGGTCAACTTTTGGACCCTTTAAGTCAACATTCATGCCGTCAGCGCTTGCTCCTCCTTCGACTTCCAACGTCTTGTTGAAACTCACGTCAGGTAAGTTCACATCAGGAGCATTCAAGGTGAGCCCAGCCTGATCGCCTTCACCCTTGCTTTTGGTGTGTCCTTGAAGGTCAAGCTTGGGCATGGAAAATTCAGGGCCCTTGAAGTCGATCCCGAATCCTGATTTTTCAGACTTTGATGAAATGTTTTCTACATTGCCTACTTTGTGTTCAAACTCTACATTTGGCATCTGGAGGTCTGGAGTGTCAATGCTAAGCCCAATATTACCTTTAGACTTGACTTTCTCTTCGTCTGAGACAACTTCGTCATCTCTCTTCAGTCCCTTGAAGTCGAGACCAAAGTTCATATTGCCAAAACCTTTTGACTTTCCAGTTTCTCTATCGGAGTCAGTTTCGTCCTTGTGTTCAGAGTTCGATTCCTGGCCCCGTCCAAAGCCCTTGAAGTCCAGGTCGATGCCAAAGGAACCCTTGGCCTTCTGCTTTTCATCGTCTGTCTTGGGTTCGAGTGAGACCTTGCTCACGCCTCTTCCATCGAGTTCGACGTCTGGCATGTTGATGTTAAGGTTATCTTCAACTCCGAGTCTTACCTCACCTTCGGGTATGTTTGGCATCCTAACCGTGGCATCGGGAACATCTAAGTCACCTTGGCCGGCCTTAACTTTCATCTGTGGCAGTTTGACGCCGAACTTGATGCCACTTGGCTTCTTGTTGGCCCCATCGAAGCCCTCGGCCTCAATTCCTGTCGAGGGAGTTTCCATTTCGGTTTCAAGATCTAGGCGAGGTTGCTGAAGGTTGAGCGAAGGACCCTCCGCTGATAGTTCTCCTCCAGCTTCGAGGTCGAGGTCACGCTTAGGAACTCTTCCTGTCAAATCTGGCAAGACTTTGATGCCGAATTTTAACTTTGAGTCGGCTTTGGCATCGGCGTGAACCGCGGGACCCTCAGCCCGCGCCGTCGGCTTCCGGACGTCGGCGCCTGGCACGTCAATGGCACGTTCGGAGTGTCGTTCCGGCGCTTCTCTCTGTACAAGACTAGCATCCACCCGCGCGCCTGCAGTCACGCCCGTGCCTATACCCGAGCTCAAGCTAA